TGAAACTTAAACTTTCAAGCCTCTCTCTCTCTCAAGGACAGTCAATTATTCTCCTCACATTCGACTGTGATTGACTAATCTTTTACGCCTTAAGTTAAAACTTAGAATGGAGTCTACAATAGAAATTATAAACTAGAATAGTGGTCGTAGAGTATTAAATCGTAGAAAATTAATCAATCATAGTCTATATAAATATGAGAAAAATAATCGACTATGAGTGGTCAATTTTCTACAATTTAAGATACGACTATTATGACTTCTATCGTAAACCCCGTATAAATTTTACGTCTTAAAATTTTTTTGTAGACATCGTTTAACATAAATAGACTAGTAAATAAACGAACTGGTACGAAATTGTCCGTAAGTGAACAAGCGGCGGATTGTATAGTCGTCAAACTCGAAATATTGATAGATAAGGATATATCTCGGGGTCAAGCAATCTCGTCGAGTTTGTAATTAATGCTAACTCATATGCGCGTCATAATAACAAGACGTCTGTGCAGACGGCTTGTGATTTATCCCCGTCGCGCAAACACACTGTGCCGAGACATGTTTCCGTGAATTTCCTAATATAATGTCCGTTTGTATTTTATAATTGCAAATACTCGGATAAAAGATGTTCAAACGCGCTTCTTATATAAGATCGTTTGATGTAACGTGCTCGTGTCAAACTGTTAATTAATGTTGCTAGAGAGTTGATGTCCCAATTTCGTAATGTAGCAAAGGTTTTGCCTTTATTCAACTTTGTGACCATACGGGAGTCTACTACATAGAAGAGAGAAAGTTTTATGAAAGCTTAAAGGGAAGGAGAGGAAAAGTTGTTTGCTAATAGCGAATTAGGATGTAGTATTGATGTTCATATGATTAATGGTCGGTCATCTGAGATTAATACCATAAGAAATGAGATTAGTGTGTATACCTCGGTGAGATTTTGAACGTAGAAAATAAATCGTACGAGAGACAACAGCTCGATTGTGATACCACGAATGATTAATAAAAACTGTATATATCAAGTACTAAGGCGCGGCAACGCAGTCTTGACCTTCTACGACATTTCAATGAAAGTTCAATGATAATTATGGATAAAAGGTAACTCTTAAATAAACACAGCGATGTTGTCGCATTAGTCCGGTTATCCCTCTCAAGGTTATATTTCAAGATTACGTTTAAATGGAATTTTACGTATTGTTTACGTTAAGTTTTTATTATTAGAATCTTTTTTATATTGACAATGCAAAAATAATGTAAAATATGTAAATGTTATAAATTGAATAACACAATATAAAAACAAGTAAATAAATTTTAAAATTATTAATATATTTGATTTTAGTATTACTAAATAAAAATTTATAAGCAATATATGAGGCTGCAGTTTAACGCAACGACAAAAAAATAGATTTCGATAATATATGGATTGTTTACATAAACAACATGTAAAACATTGTTTACACTTAGAAAAAAAGACTATTCTTAAATCAACCCATATAATGTGCTCATAAATAAGCAAAAATGTTGTAATCTTGTTTCAAAGATTTTAATCTTGATTTGAATTTGTGTTGATGCAAGTATTATTTTAAATCAAGACTTGTTTAATAAATAAAAAATCTTACATCAATATTATGGTTGATTTATCATATAAGAAAATACTTTTTTCTGTATAGTTTATTTTATATATACATATATATAGATTATTACATTAAACAAACAATCTTGACTTTTATCTTGATTACGTAGGATTTAAAAGAGGAGGAGGCAATATACTGCAATGTTTTTTATCAACAAATACTTTTTTCATGAAAATCATACTTTTAATATCGTTCTTATCTCACAAATCTGATTAATCGAAAATAATTATTAATCTTCTGTCATCGCTTTTATATATTTATCTGTTTATCATCAATGAGATTTAACTGCGTCGTTACAATTGTGATTTTTTTAACGACGTCACTTTCGATGTTACTTAGAATATCATTATTATCTCATTATCTTCTGCGTCAAATAAACAAGATTTAATTACAGATTCGACAGACTTAGAATTTGAAAGCAGAAATTTGACATATCTATCTGCACGCGAACTCCAGATGTTTCGCAAGTCCTCATTAACACTTCAGTCGAATCTTACATTACTTCCAAAGCAAGAGAGAGGAAGAGAGACAGAGCGCATCTTATTAATATGTATATTAGAAATTATCGCAGTGGATGATATATATTCTGCAAATAGTACTAAATTTATGGCAGCTTTTGCTGCTTCGCGAAATCTTGACGTGACTACCCGAAACGAGATTGTGCAAGCTGTTAGTTTCGTGATATAACGCACGTCGACACATCGCTTCGTTAAACCGGACTTCAATTTTTGTCGGATGCATTGCATTCAGAAAATCCTATTGTGTATCCGATTGAAGTGCATTCGCTCGCATAGTTCATATTGGATGAGAGAGAAGGATACCAATTGTGCGTCAATTTATTATTCGTATACATTCATACGAGCACACGTTTTACTTAAATTTTTCCTATCAATCCATTTGAGCCTTTCGAAATCTTTTTTTTTATCTTTATGGTGTGTACTGTGTCTTGTGTCGTGGAAAAACGTCACGTTCCGAGATGCATCGTAATAAACGACAATATTTCATAAAAGCAAACAATTGCGCGCCTTCGAATTGTGATAATAGCTACGCCCCTTTGAACTGTCTCAACAAAACATTTCCATCGAGAACGTATGTCTATCCGTGTGGAATCTCGAGATCGATAACGCGTAAACTTATTTAAAAAGCACTATAATACTGAATTTGAGAGTGTTGTTGGTGTAAAATTATACGTAAAAATCGAAAGAATGAATGATTAGGGTTGAAACCTATCTGACACTTCTCTTTTGTGTTTTTGTTTCTTGGCTCCGTCGCAATCTTTAATTTTAAACAATTAAATTATTGAAATTACTGTACTTAAATTATTAAATATAATTAAGTTAGACAAGAAAAATAATTGCTGCAGACAGTTTAATAAAAGATGTAGCAATGTAAGTGCTATCTTTACCTTCTTATCGCTTGTTTTTTCTTGTCTAGTGTATACATTATACAATAATAAACGAGCTGCATGTGCACGATAATGATATTAGTTGTTCCGATAAACGCGTCTATCTATTTTCATCGAAAAGATGTCAAATGGTAAAGTTCAACAATAAAGTTCAAAATGCAGGGTGACTCGAACGAGAAGCAAACGCCTGAAAAATCAAAAAAATTTGTTCGAGACAACCTCTGTAAAATCGATAGTCATCGTGCGAATTTCTCGCAATCGGATCAACGAGATGCGCAATGAAACGAAGCACGTGTCAAAATATATCGAAATGCAAAGGGTGCTTAATCAGCGTGTTACACCACATGACGGAATTATCCAATAATCTGTGCTGCAGGTCGTTACTCCGGCTCGCACCGACAGGTATATGTTGCACAAGCACATATATTTGCATTTATCTACCGACTCGGTGAGCGGGCACACGTTCACCGTACGGCTGTGTAAAGATGATATACGTGGTGATACTGCCGCTGATAAGAACGAGAAACGTAAATGACGGGACCGGCTTTGTTTGCCTCGTGTGAGCCACACGGTGCGCGTGTCCCCTGCGACGTTTTGACGGGTGATATGCACGAATGGTGTAAAATTCGTGACGAGATAACAGAATCAAGCACGAGAATGAACGAAAGCTCGTGGGAGAAGACTCACCGGTTTTCCTCGCAAATACCTGTAATCCGGATTTCTCCTTTGGTCCTTCAATTCTGTTTTCTTCCCGACGCGGCGCTTACCGTTAGCTTCCGAGATCAGTCTTTGCCTTTATTCATCTTTCTATGAAGATCGTAAGTCCAAGAAAATGGCCTTTTTCCTATCACCTTGGCAAATGTATATCTGGAGTCGATTTTAATAAAAAGGGTATGGCGACAGATACTGCCCCATCTCAGGTAAATTTAACGTAATGGCAGTTACTGAATTCTATAAAATTATGTATAGGGTTGGGGAAAAAGTCTTTTTACATATATAATATGTAAAAGAACCTATATTTTACAATATCTTCGTTAAAAATGAACGAAATTTCAATTTAAGAAAAAGGTTTTAAAATTTTAAATCTCGAATCTACTTTCGAAAGGTTACTATATTTTTGAGTTTCTGCTAGTTTGGTAATTTTTATACATATAAAAAACTACGAGCTGAAAAAGATAAAAAATTTTCTTTTCACTTTGTGAGTCTTTTACGTACCCAAAAAGTTTTCGAAAATTTTTTATTATCTATATTATGAAAGCTTAGCTTTCCCTAAATCGTTTTTTTTGTTTCTACGATTTTTTGTTCCTGAATTATTTACGTTAAATAAAGGAACATTCTGATTGTTCATAACTCCGTTAAAAATCATTATAAAAAAATAGATTCTTGAAGCTAAACCTTTGCTCTATTGAATGATGTTATTGTAACGAAAATTTCGCAACAAATGGTGGATTGGAGAAGAGTCGTTTTACATATAGATGTAAAAGGATTTTTCCTCAACCCAATAGATGTTTGGAAGGTATAAAGCCTATTCTACAATGTGAATTTTATTTTGTTTCTTGCTTTTTGCTATTTTTTTACATTTTGTCGTTTTGCTTCTCTTATTCCGTTTTTCGTCTTTTATCGCCCAAGATATGAAAAAGTTGACGAACTTTGGAAGAAACAAGAAATACGCGACAAGAAATATAATTGTCAATAAAACGGTTGTAAAGAGAGAAGAAAGCAAGAGACAAAAAGCAAGAAACAGGAAACGAAGAGCACATTGTAGAATAGCCTCGAAATATTTGAACGGAAGTCGATAATTCTATTGTAAGCTCATTTATGAATAAAGTTAATAGTGCATTGTATATACCTACATTACCACGATAATTTATCGATAATTTATCGATTCGTGGAATGGAAGCGAACATTATATTACGCGATTGTTGTTCTCAATTACTCTGTTAATGAATGGTTCTTATTTTTTGTTACAGTTCAAACGAATGCTGAACAAGGAGTTGTCGCATTTCTCGGAATCGTCCAAGTCTGGGAATCAGATCTCGGAATACATCTGCAGCACCTTTCTTGGTAAGTCAAACGTAATTCTTTTGCTTATTGGAATTATTACAATAAGAAGAAAGTGAATTATAAATTATAAGCTCGTGCGGAGAATAAGAATTAACGTATATCGTTCCCCCTCTTCAAGATAAAGACTGCGTTTTCGCGAGTGACGGAGAAAACGAATAAAAAGAAATTCACGAGACTATGTCTAACGAGGTCATCGCCGGAAGCAAGTTTATGGGTGCAATAAAATAAGCGTTCTTACGCATTAAAAGCCCTTGAAAGACCGTATCCGGTATCGCCGTGACCATTCATTCTGGTTAGCTTTTTGTGCGCAAGGTTTATAATCAGTGATGAATTGCGCTCGATTCCTTTGTATACAAAAACATCTCGGAAAAAATGCAAAAGAGATATGATCTCTAGGCACGACATCGTTGCTCGAAAAATCATTCCGTCCGTCTTTAATACGAGGGTTGTTCGAAACATTTGCGGTCTGATAAAGGAATGACGTCACAAATATCAAACTGCTATAATTTTAGACGAGTTTGATTCTACACGGGACTACTGTTAACATTTCAGCCAGAAGTCCATTAGTTTCTTTGTTTCGATTGTGTAAAACAACTTTTGATTTCATCTTTGGTTCCAATTACAATTTTTCAATTACAATCGCAAAATTACCTGAATTATTTCCGAATTGGTTTCGCGTGCATCGTATTTAATTGATTTAAATCCCTAGTGACTTTTTCCTTTTTCTAAATAGAAAAAATAGCTCGCAGGAAAAAGATCTGTTTCAAATAATAAAATAATCGATAAAACCGTTTAGTTTAAAAGTTTAGAGAAATCGTATTTTTAGATGGTATAAAAAAGAATATCATTGAACAAGTGTATTGAGTTGAAAGGGGATATGTAAAAATAATAATTTGCCAAAAAAATCATATGTTTTCTTTATCAGAGAAAACTTTTCGAACTACCTTGATAGAGTAACCCTCCTGCGTCGTTTCTCTGCAAAATTCGTTTACTAAGCGCTGATTTCGTTAGATAGTTTCCTAACGAGTTTCGCTCGATGGAAGTCGGATTATCGAAAGTTAACGACGGGCTAACTTTTTATTTCCAAAATTCTAGCAAAATGACGCGAGAGGAAGTTGTAAGAATACGCCCTCGCAAATCATAAGCAAATATACTATCCAAACGCGTAATCTTATACTCAAATATATCAGTGCCTTTCACCTTATTCAATGCCGATTAATTAACCAAGTGCGTTTATCCACGTCACTTTTTGCTGCTCGACAGACAAGCAGCAGGAGCTGGATTTGCCGTCTTTGCGAATCGAGGATGCGGTCGCCGCAGCGGGTAGCGCCGATGCACGGGCGGCGAAGAAGAAGGACCGTGCGCAAAGAGGCCCTGCCGCTATGTCGCACATTAGCGGTGTAAAACGACCGTTGACACACACTAACAGTTTTACCGGGGAACGTGTGCCGCTCCACGGGGTGGAAACGCCGCACGAGGATGAGCTCGGCAAGGTAAGCCTTTGACCTTTAACGTCACATTTTGCGTTCCGCCCGGTATGATAGACACCGTATGCACCACGCAGCGTCACAGCTGGGTTTCTTAATCGCAAAAGTAAAAAACGGAGGGTGTTTTAGAAATACAAAGTGTTGATTTCTGCAAAAATATACACTGCACAAGAACAGTATCATAATTATATCAAACTATTGTTGCGGCATTTTGCGTCTGCAACGTTACATCTTTTATTCAAATAGCCATTTGAAACGTTAAAAAAATAATTGAAGCGTTATGGAAAAAAAGAGAGAGAAAGGAAGAAGAGGAGAAATAAAAATTTACAAAAGATTCGGTAATTTAAATAATTATTTGCTATTACATAAAAGTGACATACACGTGATATTATAATATTTGTTTATGCTGTATGAAATCTCCAAAAATTTTTACACTTGAATCCATGATGTATGATACATAAAACTGAAATATTCTATTTCCATGATGGATGCGCAGTAGAAAAGTGAATTTGGGATCAAATTTGACTAACTGTTTCAGTATGCAAGCGCTACATTGAGAAAAAGGTACTTAAAAATTTATTCGTGAGAAATATATTTATTTCACTGAAATACATTTTTATGACGGCGAAATACAATTTTATTTTTAGTAAATAAGCCATCTTTATTTTACTTTTTTACAATTAATCAGATATATTTCACAAAATGTATATTTTATCATCACAGTTAAATTTCTTTATAACTTATAAGTATCAAAGAAAACGTAACATTTGCTTCGCAATACTTCGACATTTTTCTCGCAATGTGTTTATTTTATGCAGGAAAATACATTTTAGAGCAAATTTGATTGGTTGCTTCCAGTATTATTATCACCATTATACATAATGTTATATATTAATATCTCTTTTTTATATCATGCTTAAAACATATTTAAAAAAAGCGATAAATACCTATATTCTCGGACGTTGAAAAAGGAGAAAGTGAAGATGCTGAGTGCAAAGAGCAACACGAATAGACCTTTTTATAAATAGAAGCAGATGAATATATCTCATATCGATTATCACTTTCTATTTGTCTAAGATTGCTTGCAACGCGATTATATCATGCTTTCCATCTAAGGCAAATGTTTCTACAAGATAATTTACGAACATCTATAATACTGAAACGATAAGCAATTAATGTGCGCTGTCTTATATCCTCAAAGTTTCATCTGAACTAATCGCAGCTATAAAGATCTTTGGCAAATGCTATGTTGCATGTATGGATATATATATATATATATATATATCCATACTAGGATGGTACTCATATATTGATGCTAAACTGGGAGCTCCAATAGAATTGAGATTTATTCAACTATACGATCATTAATCAGCCCAGCAAGAGAGAGGCACGTGTAATCCACGTTACATATCGATTATATGGCCGCAAAATAGAAAAAACAGAACGATTATATATTAATGGTAAGTTGATAAGTATATATTGCACGATTTTAATGCGATTATTGCAATAATTACTTGGTTTTAATATAATTATTGCTCAATTAGCTCGATAATTGCAAAAGCTTTATTTAGTTATGAAGTAAAGAATGAATTTTTTCAATAAAAGAATTTGTATAATAACTACGTAGTAATCGTACTAAAATCCGGTAATATGTATAATTATCAACGATCGTCATGATTTTCTAAAAGCTTTATATCGAAATTTAATATCGAAACCTATATATAATAGATACACGTATCACTCTTTTATGTCAAAAATTAAGTTATAATCGCCAGATTCTAAACAACTCTTGGAAAGAATCAGATTTATACCTGACGCTTTAACCGGTCGAAGTCATCAGATGAGATGTTGCTTCGTACGAACAAGATTTACCGGTTCTCCAACTAAACAGACAGTTTCATAATATTTAATTGAAAGATTAGACATCCCGGAAGACAGATAGTATCGGAAATTTTGATTTAATTCTGCGAAAACATCTTTGTCTAAAAGTATCCATATGTTACGTCAAAGTAGTGTGCTGCGCAGTTAAACTTCTGAACCTTTCTACATACGATTAAATATAAAAATCGTTTTATAAACCTGTCTTACGAAATATTGGAAGTAATATAAAAATAATTAATTATTTAATTAAATTTAATTATGGATAATATAATTATCGCTATTAAATATTTATGCATTTTTTTATTTATGAGAATTTAAGGACTCCTGAGTATATCGTATTTCGCAAAATCGGAACTTAAATTAACAGAACGGTCTATTAAATATACACTAAATGTTCTAGTTTTTAATCTTCCACGAAAGTTTCCATTTGGCGAATTTATCGCGGTGACGACCTCGTCGATGATCATGTTTATTGTTTCTTTTACCTCTTTTGATCCGTGTATGATATTGACGTAAATTCCATCGTATATGAGAATTCCACGAGAATTCATGTTTCTGGCTTTCATCTCCATCCGCCTATGAATATACGTATATCATGCAATAGTATATCGCGACTCGGCGTCATACTGCGCGGTTTCAATTTCGGAAAATTTCAACGACGTTCTCGATACGTGTACCCACGCTGACCAAACTTCTATTTAGAGTACCTACCTCGATCCGATTTTACAGTGACGTTAGTATGCACGACACAAACAATGTAACGACGCAGTTGCATTTTTTAAGAAAAAAATACAAAAAAGAAAGGAAAAGAAATTATAAACTCGATTACACATAAATCCCGCGGATTAAGAAGATTAAAAGTGCGAGCTGTTTGATTGGCAATTAACCTTTGTGCGAAGCTTATGTTACATTATTAACGATGCTGAATCTATATTGATTGTTGATATTTACTGAACTTTTGGAATAAATTTAGATAAGACAGTTACGGTTTTCTTAAAATACAAAAAACTTGTATTTATGTTATTTCTTTTAATAATGTATTATATTTAGAATATATCACTTTATAGGTCAATTCTAAGCAGAATCGTATAAGACTCGTAACTTATTCTCATAAAACTTGTAAAAAGTTATGACTAGTAATCTAATTTTATGCGTATGTATCGTAAGACGTATAATTGTTAGTAAATATTTACGATTCCTTTGTAAATCTTACGACTAATAAGAAGTATGGCCATCTTTCCTGAATATTGTGTGTGACGGAAAGATGACCGTAATATTTATAAATAAATAGTGAAAATGAAAATACAAATTATAGATCAGATTACAATTTACGTGTTATGTATGTAATGTTGGTTACGGTACTTACGGCAGCTTTATTGTAATTTATTCAATGTTGTAATAATTTTTAGTGCAAACTTTGTAGGCAAAGTAAAAATATTACATAACATTTTCACAATATTTCGAATAGTGTGCGTATAATTAAACTATTGTAAATATTAATTATCTTTGAGAATGACTGTAAAAATGCTACAATATTTAGCAATTATTGGAGAAATTACAGCCTAATGGCCATCTTTTCCATATGATCGTAACATCCGTGTTTACTCCACGTTTCCATATGCATATCACGTTTCTCGCATTTTATTCTCTTCAGGAAACAACTGTGTTTGTCGTGCTATTTTAAATTTGCATGTCAACGCGTATACGTAGGCACACGATGAGATTTAAGCGCTGAATACATATCTGAGTTATTCATTATAGAGAAAATCTCTGAAGTAAATATTTCTGAATTATTAAAATCGTGCTAAGGGAGCCACCAGATATTAGTGAAGAATAATGATTGCTTTTAATATCAAAGTGTCGGCCGATAGCAAAGCAGCAAAGCGTTATTGGTTTTGACGAGCTGGAACCCCGACGTGTAAACATAATAATGCAGAAGCTTAATTATTATTCAGAAGTTTTCATTCTGTTTTACGCGGATGTTAATAAAGGATCTTGAAGAATTTAATTTATTACACTTATATCAGCTCGGAATTTTTAACTTTCGCCTAAGTATCTTCCTGAAATACACGTCGCTTCTCCCCGATACAAATAAATCATGTCGCGCGTATCTTTTTATTCCTCTTTTATTTGGTTGCAAACTTATCTCTTTCTCGGCGGCAAATACGTGGCGCGCGCGGATGATAGAATTTTTAGAAAAAAAATGAACGTTTACTCTGTAGCATATGATTACGCTGATTACGCGGCCGGTTGTATTTTAACAGGCAGAAGCATTTGGGCCGAGGTTGTGCGACTTCGATAACCTGAATAGCTTTACCGATTAGCGAGGCGCTTTTTTCGCAATGAAAGAGAAGCTAATTTTCGGCGCATTTACGAAAGTGATATCGCGATCGCAGTATTTATGATAACCTAAGGTGAAATTCAAGGAATGTTTCCAAGATAATCTTGACTTTGATTGCCACGTGTATCGTATCATTATTTTATTTGCTACTTTTACGTTATAAAATAAAATAAATAACTCAAGTCTATGAAGCGGTACTTTAGGGAGAAATAAACTCTAACGCTGTTTGTATACTCTTTTAGAAATCTCACTTCTGGGAAAGCAAGCGGTGAAAGGCAATCTTTCCATTATGCAAATTGAGGTAAATTTTCTTAATGAAAAAGAGGAACGAACCGGGTGTATTAAGCGCTGCTATATTCTGCATATTAATCAGATTTCTCATAGAGAGACCGTCGGTGATTCTTTTGCCGGATTAAATGTGATGCAAACGTGTCCTTAGTTGACTACGTGATTCCGTGCAGGTTCTCCAAGACTAGAGATTTATTTTTATACCCAGGCAATTATGATTCAACCGTTTTAGAATGCCGTCTTAATGTCGCTATGGATACTTTATTTGGCGCCCGAGTTGACGCTTCCTACGCTTTGTTTGAAATTATTATTGATAAAATTAGGTGATCGAAACCAGTTGTGACGTTGCTATTCAATGAAAAATCAGTTTGATAATATTTATACTAACCATATCTAGTCAAGTCTTCTTAAATCTAGTTTACTAACTTTTTATCTTTTTCGTTGTCGCATGAATAATATGCGAGACTGCAATGTTGTTCATGAATAATCAGCTTCGCGTGTGACCTTATGACGATAACACTAGACCTTCGCTATCTGTACTTGAAGACTCGTATTATTTCGTATAATGAATTGCTACAAGGCGCATTTGTGCTCATAATTGATGTATCTATACCGCGCGGTATAGTAATTGAATAATAACTATAATCAATCTCTCTCTTTCTTTCTCGATATCACTTCAGAGCGAAACATTTCATTTATATATTGCAAGCACAACGCCACTATATTATTGTGAATATCGTTGTAAATGTTTCACGTAATTCTTTACAGTTACTCTCGGACATCGACAAGTGGGGTATCGATATCTTCAGGATAGGCGAGCTTAGCAACAATCGGCCCCTCACCTGCGTGGCGTACACGGCCTTCCAGAGTCGAGATCTGCTCAAATCGCTGGCGATACCTCCCAAGACCTTTGTTACCTTTATGATGACCCTAGAGGATCATTATGTGAAGGATAATCCCTTCCACAATAGTCTCCATGCAGCCGATGTGACCCAATCTACTCACACTCTGCTCAACACACCCGCACTCGAGGTTTGTATGTAATGTATATACATTTTTGCTTACATCATTAACATCATTTTCCCTTTTTTCCGAACTTTGAGTTAAGTAGCTTGCTCCCACGATAATTTACAAATCTCATTGACGAGTATAAAGTACTTTGTAAACTGCAGAAGAATTGCATCTATCGCAAGAAGAAAAATATATTTTTTGTGACAACGTATCGTAAATAATATATATTCTTTATGTTACAGTCCGTGTTCACGCCATTGGAAATCACTGCTGCATTATTCGCGGCTTCCATCCATGATGTAGACCATCCTGGACTCACGAATCAATTCCTCATTAACTCAAGTAAGTGTTGGCAAGATTTGTCAAATTTTCTGTTCTGCGTTATTAATTATTTTGTGTTGCGTTAAATATGTAAACAATGTATTATATCTCTCTATCGAAGAGAAGAAAAAAAATATCTGCAATTAACGTCCTCTTCTATTTCTTACAATAACTAGCAAATTAACAATCCGTTTTTTTCTTTTGCTCAGGTTCTGAGCTCGCGTTGATGTACAACGACGAGTCGGTGTTGGAGAATCATCACTTGGCTGTCGCGTTTAAGCTTCTGCAGAATGAGGGCTGTGACATATTCGTAAACATGACGAAGAAGCAACGGCAGACGCTGCGGAAGATGGTCATCGATATGGTCCTGTCGACAGACATGTCGAAGCACATGTCGCTACTAGCCGATCTGAAAACCATGGTGGAGACGAAAAAAGTCGCCGGTTCCGGTGTGCTACTGCTCGACAACTACACCGATCGTATCCAGGTGCTGGAAAATTTGGTGCATTGCGCCGACCTGTCTAATCCGACGAAACCATTGACTCTTTATCGACGATGGGTGGGCTTGCTAATGGAGGAGTTCTTTTTGCAAGGCGACCGCGAGCGGGAGCAAAATATGGATATTAGTCCGATGTGTGATCGCCATAGTGCAACCATCGAGAAGTCGCAGGTCGGCTTCATCGATTACATTGTACATCCACTTTGGGAGACCTGGGCAGATCTGGTGCATCCAGACGCGCAGGAGATTCTGGATACTCTTGAGGAGAATCGGGACTGGTATCATTCAATGATACCGCCATCGCCGCCGTCCGATGATCAGCAACAGCCAGGAACGAACGAAAGTCAACAACAACAAGATAGGATACATTTTCAAGTGACATTGGAGGAGGGTGATGAGACTAGCGAGACTGTAGAAGGTGGTGGCGATGATGGCGGTGGCGGCGAATTCTCCAGCGAAGATCCGGGCGGTGAGACGGAGGAGAACGCCACAGAGGCTGGGATGTGACGGAGGCTCGCTGGTATTTGCAGGAAGCTCCATGAGAAGGTACAACAGAGTTGGTGGCGAGTGCGTCAGTGACATTCGCACCTAGCCGCGCCTAGTCGCCGGTCCTTTTGTATCGACCTATGCCACGTCGGCAGGACCACGAAGGAGGACGACGATTAAGATGACGGGGACCGTCTCGATCCAATGGCAAGAGACAACGTCCCGACGACGACGGAATTATTGTTCACGAAGTGCAAAGAGGCTTCAAGATCGTTAAGTTTCGGCTGGACCGAAACGTAAATGGACGAAGCTGCACGTCTTTTGTCGTCGTCATCGTCACCGTCGTCATCGTCGTCGTTTCAGTTTTGTCTCCACGTTTCGTCTCGTTGAATACTATCAACAAGCGGGAGGGGCGAATCTCTTTTCACAAAGTACCTGCGCAAATGAAAGCGACAACTGTATGTTTGCTATGTCGAGTGGGTGGCAAGATATGTTTTTTTTTATTTACACACGCACACACACTGAGGATGGTGACGATTGGCACACGATAATTGCCCATCGTGTACCGATCGTCATCTTTTTCTACTGGTTTAACGATGTTGTGTAATGCCGTCGAAGGCTGGAGGGAACTCTCTTCCAGGACATGCAGGATCCTCAACAACATATCAACAATGTACGATATACTATGGATTCTAACCGATGCGTATTAGCGATACTTCCGAGCAGATCGATGTCTCTGTCTTCTTCTTGGATTTCGAAGGCCGCGCGGAAATTGTTGATGCGTAAGCAACATTTGAGACTTGTATTTACTTACGACGGAAGTGTTTATCAATTTATTTCTAATTCCTATGTTAGAATGTAATGTCATAAGCTCAATAATGTATTGCATTTTTATGATTTAATTTTACGAATAATTTGATCAACGTTTTGCCATTAGTCGATATTCAAAATTATCCACATTATGAATCAAATCGAGCATAATTTCGTTATCCGAAATGCACGTTATATTGAAAAGGAAGAGACGACAAAATTAAAAAAGGATACTCAGTTGCAGTTAAGCGCGTCCATCCTTTTAGTTCTTCGACGGTTATTCGATAGTCACCTACTTATAGAGAAAGAGATACCTGTCTTTAATCGTAAGATTTTGTCATGTTCGCTTTGTAGACGTAGACAAGTTCGTAAGTGAATTGTTCATAATTGAAAAACGAGAATCCAGAAGTAGCCGCGTGTCTATAAAGGAAATGCTAGAGCAAATACATAGAGTATTACCCGTTGTCTGTATGATTTAAGCGAAAGAAGTGAGGGAGGAGTCCATTTCTTTTTCCCATATCATGCAGTTGACGGGAGAGCACCGAGCAGCAGAACGAGGGGCATCGAGATAAGGGTACAATTAATTTTAATACACAACAATGTCAAAAGCTGGTCTTTTAAGTTTGTATTAAAATTAATTACCAGAGCCGCGAGAAGCTTTCTTGCGATATATACAATACACGCAAAACATACACACATACACAACATACATACATACCTATAGTTGACACATACTAAAATTAACATAAATTTCAACGTTATAACTTTGTACTCAGCAATATAACTGTTACGTAACACTATGTGTTATATATTATATATATTCATATTGTTGAGAGTGCGAAATTATAACATTGTTATGTTACTTTTAATTTATGTCGACTGGGTAATAACACAAATGCAGTATGTACAATTATAATGCGAGCGAGGATATATATCGATAGATGTTTTTAACCAAAGAGTAATATAAGTGATTGTTGAGTCGATTGCTGAGCGTGCCATTCACCAATACGTTTTGATGACGAATAATTCAGCGACGGTCCTTGGAATTTCACGTCGAATATGTCAAAAGCAAAAATGGATACATCATGGATGTCCATGAATCGCTCAAATTTGCAAGTTTATTCGACATTCGCGGCGATCGATTCAAACGGATTTGGAACGCTGGTGAACGCCGAATGTTTATCATTGTTTTTTAATGTATAAGTTATGCTGATGCATCATTAGAATAATTTTTGTCTTCTTCTGGACTACGAGTCGCATAAAAATCTTTGAATTTCCGAAAGAGAAAGAGAAAGCGGAGTAGTCATCCGTATTGGTGGAATGGCGACAATTTCGCGCCTCGATTATATCAGGGAATTGAAATGGGACATGTTATTAGCGATCGATGAGCGAGTGTATCGAGGATCAGCCTAAAAACAAAATTAACGTTTCACTACTATTCTAAGTCGTAAGCTTGCCATCGACTGCGCGAAATAGAAAATATTCGAGTCTGATCGGAAACGTTTATAAGCGACCGGTAGCTCGGGCTCACGTAATCGTACATTTCTTATAATCACGTTAAGGGAAATTATCTAAATCGTAAAAATAGAAAAAAAAACGGAAAAAAATACTATGGAAAAAGCAAAATCTCTATGTGTGTTGTAGACAATGATCTAGTGAATGTTTTGGTGCTGGTCACCAAGCTTTAGCGCGTAAGAAAAACTCCGAGGTTCATGAGAGTCCGCGACTATATTGTTAAGTCGAGAAGAGGGAGTTAATTTAACGAAGTTTTTAGGACGTAAGCAACGAGGTTATAATAATAATAATATTAATAATTAAAGATAATAATCATAATATTAACAGTAATAATAATGATAAGCGCGATATAAGAAAGATACTGATTTATTAATGTTAACGATAACACTCGTTGCGCGAACGAATGTAATCGAGATCATGTTCGCTTCAGCCGTCGAGGCAATATCGTAAGAGAAGGAGGAGCAGGAAGAGAAAGACTAAAAGTGTTATCGATTATGTACCTCTGAATTGACGCCAAATTTGAAATTTGGCGAAAGTATTCGATTAGACGGCGATTTTTTAATTATTTAGCACGAGTGCGTTTTTGATTGTAATTTTGGCGTAGACGAGCGGAAATGCACTCGTTCCTTTTTCGTAACATTTTTTTCTTGTCGCTCGTCTCGATGGATCTCGTGAGTGCGTGCGCAGGTACAAAAATAAAAAAATATAAAAAAACGCCACAAAATACGATTTTGTCATACAAATCTTGATGGATTATTGTGATTTGTCACGCTTCTAAAGCATCGTTGTTGGAGCAACAAAATATCTTCTCTAATACATACAGTTTGTTGCTCGTTAAAAGTGTCCAAAAAAAATAGAAAAAAAAGAGCCAAAGAAAAAAGTACAAAAAATTGATGACTCAATGATGATTTACAAGTGTAACAAATCGCAGTGATTCAACAAGATGTGTAATAATACTTAGTAATAATAGATTGGTAATTATGATGAGATGGGGAGAAAAAAATAAAAATACCTGTTTGATTGCTGGACAGTTAAATGAATGTATTAATATCGTGTAATCGTCGTACGAGATATATGTGTAATAAAACGTATTTATTGTCGGAAATTCGGATCTTTCTTTTTTTCAACCCAATTGAGTGAGATTAACAACAGCGTTTTTTAAAATCTTTATTATATACATATATTCTCTAGTTCAAAAAAATTTATATTTACGGTAGCTATGAATTCCTGACATACAATTTGTAATTGTTCATTATCTCTTTGCGCAGAAATACAAATTTTGTTATTCTTCTTGACACAATTCTCTGTTTTCTTTTAAAATTTAATATATTCTTGCACTAGCTTTAAATAAAGGAAAATCGATTTGTGCCTTAGCTTGTAGGATCCATCGTCGTAAATCCATATCATGAATAATTCTTTTTCGTCATCGGCTCCTTTAAAATTTTGTAAGACAGATTTGGAAATGTATGACATCTTTTCTTCTTTTTGTATATAATGTTCCCATCGATATAGTTGCCACAAAAACTTTATCTTTCTAAATTGATTTTTTACCGACAATAAGGCATTACTGTTCCCTTTTTACACTTTTTCAAAATTCAACTCCTCTTTTATAGCCATCATTAACAATTTCTAGTTCTTTTGAAATACAATTATCTTTTGCCGCGAAGAAAAATAGTTAATTTTGTTGTAAAACCTTTATATAAAACACTTTTTTATGTCTCAAATAATTTTCGCGATATAACGGAAAAAGCTGAAAATCGCTATACACGTAAGGGGTGATTTCATCCCTTAAACCCCCCTGCGGGGGAGCTCCATTACTGTTAAAAATAATCTAACCCAACCCATTTGATGGTGTGAGATAGCTCTCGTTTCGCATGGAAAGTTGAAACCAACGTGCAACGGTACAGTCATAGAAGTTGTGCGCCTCTTGCAGGGGCGAGGGGGGTGAGAGTTGCTTCTCGTGGAAAGTTTAACATTTCTAAACAGGGGGAGGGGGTGTAGAATAATACTTAATATCGTATATGTAGCAGAAATAGTGCGTTATTTTTAAAACTTTTTAACGAAGGACGAGCGACGGCTAAAACTTGTTGGAGGGTCATGACCTTGACAACATATGTCAAGAGGATCGGAGCTACTTCCGTTATTCTAGATATTTACCGTTTCTTTTATATTATAAATTTAAGAACAATAATAATTATTAATAAATCCAATTAGCTCGATTTAGACCGTTTAATTATTTAATTTGAATTACAAAAAACGAGCGACATTTATTAAGAAATATTTAAAGGAAACAAAATAAGAATTAATAGCACAAAGTTTTTTTCTACATTCATATATTTCATATTCGTCTTTGCAATTTTATCAAATAGAGGAAAACATGATGTAATGTACCACGTGTAAGTAACTGCTATTGCCCAATACGTCATTACCTTCTGCATTTTCCTTATCTGCTAAATATTTACAAGTAATAATACAAACCTACACAATGTAGCATAATAGACGTAACAAGCGAATGATAAGAAAAAGATCAAAAACGATATTACTATCAACATCCTGGTATGTACAATTATTTTTGACATTCCTTGACTTTCAAATGAGAATAATAATCAAGTTTCAGTAAAATTTATTTCCATTCATAACACGTCAACTTTTGTGATAAAATCATTAGAAATAAATACGTGCATGCAAAAGAAGGATTTTTTCATCATCATATTGATGCATGCAAATAATTTATTATTTAATTTTTTTTTAAATCATTAAAATCACAATTATTATAAAAGTTTAAACACACGTACGAACTCAAATTAAAAGAAAGGATTATAAGACGGATTATAAAATGCATGTGTCTTTACGAAATATAAATCTGACAAGAAGATTGAACATCTTGAATCTAATTTGGCCCACCGTGCATCATAATTTGAACAATTAATTTTCAATATTTCGCCGCAAAAGAAAATGTTTTATAGAATTCTAAACTTTAGTTTCAGGAAACTATATGCATTACACAAAATTGCATTCAAAAAAGCATATATTTTTATATGAATTGCGCAAATATGCGACAACAAATATATATACATACATACGTAAACGATAGATAGCACAGCTAGTAATTATTTCACATTATAATTGTCATTTTTTCTTATAAATACGCCAAATAAGCAACATGAATCCCATTAGCACAGCCATCCAAGCCATTCAAACTTCTGCTGTCAATAACACTGTAGAAATATGGGTTATAAGATTTTACATCTGTTAATCTTGGCATTCGCCGTAATCTGCATCCAGGCTCGTTATGCTTCACATAGTAAGTTTAAAAAAAAAATTATGTTTACTTTCATCAAAATTTTTCTGCCACAATAATCTGATATATACACATATACCATATAAATTACCCATAAAATAAAATACATTATTGTGGCATGTATCTTGCACCTGCGTTTTTCAACCTTTTCTACTTATTTTTACATTTCTTGCTTCTTGTATTTTTTTTTAATTTTCGCGACACATTTAGATGCCCATTACGCTACATCGATTAAAAATTTTTGATATTATTACATGTTTAATTGTGAACAAAGATCGTAATATAAATTGTATCGTTAGTTAAAAGTTGCACGGAAATGTATATAAAATTAGAAAATTTTAAGCTTATATTCCTGTCAAGTATTGCATTGGTTGGTGCAAAAGTTTTTGCCGATTTCTTGTAAGTTTTTTTATTATAATAAGAATTATATATTAGTCGAAATATTTACCATCATTTCCACGACCTTTTTTTCATCTTTCCGGCGGTATACTGACAAATACCATGTCGAAAAAAAAAATCATTTTTTGATGCAATCCATTGATGGACCCATTTTCGTATATCCTTGGCATTTGAAAAGCGTTCACTAAATAAACCGTGTTGCATCGAACTAAATTCTAAACAGATAATAATCAGAAGGAGCAATGTTTAATGAGTAAGCTGGATGAGGGAGAATATTCCATTCCAACTCTAACAATGTTTTTTTTGTTTCCTTAGTAACATGTAGTCTAACTTTGTCATGCAACACGATGACATTCCGACGTTTGCTGGCTATATATATGCAGACGTTTTTAAATTAATTTTCTATACAGTTGCTTTAACTGTTTACCGTAGCGATTACTCCTGTAATGGTTTGGTTCTGTGACAATAACTTATATATAAGCTCTTCTATAGAAGAATACACCCCTTCCTAGATCCACCAGATACATAGTAGAATAGATATTGCGGCGCGATGTGGATGTGTTGATTGACCGAGCTCCACCCAATATTTTTGCCTTTTGAAGGAGTTATACAAAAATATCTATTTTTTATCTTTGGTTACAATACATCACAAAAAACTTTTTTTTTTACTAGTAAACAACGAAAGGTATTTGTTGTACCGGTTGCCAATTGCGCGTTCGGATAATTCATGTGGTACCCACTTTCCATAGTTCTGGATTTTTTCTATTATATTTAAACGGCGAAAACAATTGTTGAATGATTAACTTCCAGTTGTGTTGAAAACTCATGAGTCGATTTGGCTGAATCTTCATTAAGCAACGCTCGCAATTCATTCTCTTCCACAGTTGCAAAACATTCGAAACATTCTTTATCACTAATATTGAAATCACCGTCTTTAAATTGTTTAAATCAATTCGCACATGTTCTAATGGTTATAACATTTTCACCATATGTGTCACAAATGATTCTGAGTGCAGCATTTTTCTTTTGATGAAAACAAAACGAAAGGCAGTGACAAATATGCTTTTTATCTGGCTCCTTTTTTAATTATTATATGTATACTATAAATGTAAGGCTATATCTTTTGACATCTATGGCTAGTCGTGCACAACTGTTAATACAGAAATGCCGATTTACAAAGATCATAAACATTTCTGTCGATAAAATTGTACTTAAGATATATGTAAATATTCTCATTTGGATCGGGAAGAATTTTTGCACCGACCTAATATGATATAATGATTTACAACTCACATCAAAATTATGTTTATTCACTTTAATGAAAAATAATTTTTTGTGTGTGAAAGAATTTTAATAAAATAGATTTCAGTACATAAAAAACTTTACACTTTTCTTTGATCAGGAAGTCCATGTACTATATAATAAAATATTAATGATGTTTGAAATAATAACATTTTGATACTTTTTCAGAGTCACACAGTGAGATCGTAGAGTCAACGCCTGGATCAATAGACAAATTTGAGTCCACAGCGTCATTGAATGAATCCACAAAGAAGATAGCTGTAGAAAGAAATTCATCCGTACGCTCACTATTTCGTATCATAGACCGAATGTTCCTTCCAAATGTAAATGTTTCAAACGAATTGTTAACCATATTATCTCAAAGTTTCAAAAATTTTTCCGACTGTGTAAGAGATCCTACAATTAAACCACAAACGTGTTGGGCTGATATAATAAACAATATCAATAAAATACTTTTCTCCTTAATACCACCAAATTAGACAGAAGGAAATAATACATTTCAAGAGCAAGTACAGACCGCAAATACAGACTCGAAACAGGGTTTGGTAGGGGATGTTGTAAACGGCCTATAGGCACTACTTTAAGTGGAATATTGGGAGATGGACTCTTTGGAAGTATCATATACACTTTAAAAGGTTTTTTAAGTGATTTAGGCGACAGTATAAGCAATGACGAAAACTCTACATGCAATGATTAAATCTATACAGGCAGTGATGAAAACTATACAAACAATGATGAAGAAGATGCTTACATAGGCTACACATAGGTGCTACAATAGGCAAATAAGGGCCATATTGTGTAGTAGATTAACTTTTCTATAAAATTATTCAAACTTGGCGAATTATATAATGACAATGGCAAGAATCATTTCGTCGATGAATGAATATGTTATGAATTTATATTTGTTTTAAGTACATAAAAATTAATGATAATGAAAAAAATTGTTAAAAATGGTGCCAAAAATATGCAATATGGTATACATGTAAATATTTATGGATGATGTATAAAATATATGTAGCAAATTGAATTTCTTGGAATATTTTATTTTGAATAATGTAAATGTGTAGAATGTATAATTTTAAGAAATATGTATATATATATGT